GTTGTGGCGACTCCTTCAAACTATCTGCCGCCATCCATTGCAATCCGCAGCAAACTGTCTGTTTTGGCAATTTTATTCAAATTTATTTGGTTTCATTGGGTGAACGTCATGCAGAAATAGCTCGTGCAGGTTGGCAGTGGTACATACATTTGAAATCATGTTACCAAACCCATAAATGGCTTCGGCTTGAGAGGCTCGGCTTGCCTCTGCTGAGCAGGTCTTGGTTTTTTTTTCGATAGTGAGGAAAATGTTATCAACTCCAAAGCACGAAAAAGGCCAAAAACTAAACCAAGAACATATGCAATAACATGTTATATAAATTTTATAAAGACAGGACATGTGAATAATTAGTCAGTCCATTGTTCATGATGATCTCCGACGGTTACATCGGCAAGCGAGCCTCCGCCACTGCCAAAGCAGCGTGGGCTCCGCAGGAGGGTGCAAATTTCAAACCAAAATCTAAACGCCTACAACCGCGAATGCACATGATAAAGGATTTCAGAAGGCTGAAGGAAATCCTGCAGGTCTTGGTTCAGGGTGCCGACCAGAGACGATCTTGGCCGGCCCTTTCACTCACGTTGCTGTGGAGTGAAGTACCCACTCATGGCTTGCTGCGCTGGGGTGTCCGGCAACAGTCGCAGTGCATGTCCCAGCATTCGCAGACTAGCCTTCTCGATGGTGGATGACAGCGGCTCTTCACGACAGCGCTGGTATAGGTCGATGTTCGATATCCTGTTCGGGAACCTTATGCCAATGAGGCTCCTGAGTGGCGTCTGTGGCATCTGTCAATCACACTCGCCAGGGCCTTCGTCATGCCCCAGGTGGCACAGTTATAGGTTAGGCATGGCTTCACAAATGCACGGTATAATTTGGTTCTCTGACTCTCGCTGATTTTCTCCCGTCTGATCCACATTGAGTACATTCTACCAAAATACTGTCAAGGCAACCTGTATCCGGCGCTCACAATCCACTACATCCCCAGCAACAATCCCAGTTGCTTGGAAGACTTCCAGATATCACTGTCGTGGGTGAGGTGGATCCATTCTGTTTTTTTCTGTGTTGAGTTTTAGATGCCAGTCTGCGAATACAATGTCGATAATCGGCAGGGCCAGTTGTAACCATTGTTTGCTAATGCTCATCAGCGTAACGTCATCAGCGTAGCGTAGAATGTCCAGATGTTCAGAGCAGTGAAGGAGTTCCGACAGAAGGCGAAACACTCATTGCTAGTTGAAACGGATGATGGGCATGTGATACCGCAACGGCAAAGCACGGGTGAAGAGTCATTTCCAATTCCTGTTCACCGCTGGAGAGCAGACCGGCTTGCCACCCCCTCACGCTCACATCATGGTTACCAGAATCAGTTGTGATGAAATAAGCAAAGCGGTGGCCCGTTTGAAGAACCAAAAAGCTGTCAGGCCGGATGGCGCACGAAGAGAACTCCTGAAGTACAGCCCAGAGGTTCTCCATGGTGTGATGGCCGATGTGTTGAACATCAGCTTTGAGAATGGTGCGGACATTTCGGAGGTGATCAGTCAAGGAGTGCTGATGCCCTAACGCAAACCCAACAAGCCGCAAGGGCCAGTCAAGAACCTGAGGCCTGTTATGGGCCCAGTTCAGTCACGATTTCGCTCGGGCAAAAGCACATGTAACGTCCTGTGGTGTTTACGCTGGCTTGCGTCGAGAGCACAGCGGTTCCACTGGCAGTGTCATGGCCTGGGCCTGGATCTGAGCAGAGCTTTGGATACGTTGGATCGTCGTAAGCTGCTCGAGGTCATGAGAGGTATCTTCCTTCCAGGTGAGCTCTGCATGATACACCACCTGCCGTGCTCGACGACCCTGGTCGTCAAGCTGGAGGGCGCCACGTCGGACTGATTCACCAGCACCATCGGTAGTTAGCCAGTGCAGACAGCAGTTCTCGGAGCGACCCCTAGCAGACCGTACTGTAAAGGTATGTGAATGTAAATGTAATCAAGTGCTAAGTCTTGTTAAAATCTAATGGAAACTTTGCACAGAATTGGATAAATCTATTGTCGCTAGTAAGCACTGAGAATTATATTTGTAATGATAGCGGTTATCTTTGGTACACGTAAACCGGCCAATTTAAGGACATCTTTATAGTTGTGGCTGGTTAGAAAAATAGCTGTTTAAAGTATTAGTAGTTCTAATAACATGCACGATGAGCTGGGCAAAAAAGCATAGCGTAGGGCCCTGAGCTTCCAAGCTCTCCCGTTTACTCCATGCTTTTATTCGCTCGTCTTCCTGCAGTTCATAATCGCCTACATTGTAGTTAGAGACCTGTGACCAGGCATGCTTAGACTGTGTATGTACATACTGAGCTGGCATGTAACCAGTCATGGTTGACAGAGGTTGTACATGTATATTGTAACGAGTAATGGATGACAGTGTTTGTAACGAGTCATGGTTGACAGTGTTTGTGACCAGTCGTAGTTGACAGAGCTTGTGACCAGTCATGGATGACAGAGCTTGCAACGAGTCATCCTTAACGGAGTTTATAACAAGTCATGGTTGACAGAGTTTTTAACGAGACATAGTTGACAGAGTTTGTAACGTATTATGGTAAACAGAATTTTTAACAAGGCTTGGCTGAAAGAGTGTGCAACAAGTCATGGTCTACAGAGTTTGTAACAAGTCATGGTCTACAGAGTTTGTGACAAGTCATGGTCTACAGAGTTTGTAACAAGTCATGGTCTACAGAGTTTGTAACGAGTCATGGCTGACAGAGGTTGTAACTAGCCCTGGTTACTGTAATAGCAGTGACGTCATAGCTGACAGAGGCTGTAACGGGCCATGGTGGGCAGAGCTACTTGACTACACATCCTCAAGGAAAAGCTGCTCCTGTGTACAGGGCTTCCAACAAAGAGACCATGATATGTCTGGAATGCGTGCCCTGGCTCCGCAAACTGGTATCGCATGTGAAGCTATTGTGGTAGCTACATTGCATTTCAAAACTATAGATGCGTAGGGTTTTTGAAATATTTCAAATTTGGCTGGAACTTTTTGAGAATAGTTTTCGGAATATTGCTCAGGATCGCTCCACAATTACTCTCATAATAGTTTCTAAAGGATTGGATAACAGACGCCCAATTTGGAAAAATTTATGCACAAAGTGATCACAGATTTTAAGTGGTATAGATGCTGGCATAAAGGTTTTTGCCGAGGTACGCGTCTATAGTTTTGAAATGGACTGTAATAAAAATTGTTTGTTGTTTTGAGCAAATAAGTTTAAGCCAAGATCAACGGCAAGTTATGAAAGATGTCAGTTCCTCCTCTAAAGTCTTGGATCATGTTTTCCACGTAAATGTTTCCACTTTATAAAAAAACAGTTTACAGGCACTTAAAAGATAAACACACATTTAGCTGATGCAGAGGAAGTATAATGCAGGCAAGTTGAATTCAATGCCTTCTAACTCACCTGGTGTAGATACTGGAGTTTGTTGTGCAACAGCAGCATCAGCATCAGGTGTAGCAGCAGCACCAGCATCAGCACCAAAAACAGCATGAAGAAAGTGTTTGGAGGACAAGCACAAGGCACAGAGTATGGGAACGTTAGTGGCATGTCATAACTGCAGACAGACGATTTGCAAGCAGGATTATGAGAGAGAGATAGGGAGATAGAGATAGAGAGAGATATGGAGAGAGAGAAAGAGAGAAAGAGAGAGAGAGAGACACACACACACAGACGGACAAACACACAGGCGGACGGACAGACAGACTCTCTGTTCTTCTGTCTCTCTTTGTCTCTTCGTCTCTGTCTATCTGTCTATCTGTCACTGTCTGTCTGTCTGCCTCTCAGAGAGAGAGATAGATAGAGAGATATGTAGACAGAGAGACAGAGAGCCAGAGGGACAGAGGGACAGAGAGCCGGAGAGACATAGGGAGACAGAGAGACAGACATACATACTATCTGTTCCTCTCTCTCTCTTTCTCTCCCTGTCCCTGTCCCTGTTTCTCTGTCTGTCTCTGTCTGTCTCTGTACGTCTCTATCCGTCTCTGTACGTCTCTGTCCGTCCCTGTCTGTCTCTCTATCTTTCTGTCAACGGGGACTGGAACGCTAACGAGATAGTATACGAAGCCACAGTGCACTCAAATCTCAGCCAGAAGAAGTACATCGGCATCTCTGAAACCCCATTCAAGCTCCTTTTCAACAACCACACGTCATCGTTCCGGAATGCCCCACAGAGAAACAGCACAGAATTGTCAAAGCATGCATGGGCGCTGAAGGAGGCAGGTGAAGATGTCAACATCTCGTGGAGAATCAGCCAGAGATCCAGCGTCTAGAAAAGAACCTCGAAGCGTTGCAACCTATGCCTATCGGAGAAAATCGCCATAAGGAACAGTGACAAGGCATCGCTCCTCAACACCAGATGCCACCTGTTGTTGTTGTTGATTTTGATGTTGGTTGTTGGTTGTTCTTGGTTGTTGTCGTTGTCGCCGTCATTGTCGTCGTTGTCGTCATCGTGGTCGTTGTGGTTGTTCATCTTCTCTTCCATTGTATGTGGGCATGTGTACTTTCATAGACGTGCAACTACAAAAATCCTTCAAATGGCTACTAACTTGTTCTACTATGTCACCCTAAATGTCATTTTTGTTAACGTTATTTGTTCTCTTGGTGGCATTGTGATAGGAGTTCGCTTCTTTTGTTCAGGCTGTTCGGGTTTTTGGCATTATTCAGTACGGTGAGCTTCTCGATTCTCCACCTTTTCGAAGTACACAACACCTCAAACTACAAGAGGAATGATTGTTCAAAATACTACTTGAATAATCAAAAGTGGATCGGTATTGCAAAATCATCAGTTGTCTTGTCCCCTTTGTACTCCTTAATTACTTACCCAATGAGAACTCGGCACCGACAGGTGACCTACGTCCATCGCTGTCACGAACATATTGGAAACCGTAGCTAACATAGCCTGGTTTGACGAACACATAGTTACGGTCACCCAATTGAGAATTTTTGAATTCCTTCGAAACATCCACCGAGCCATGTTGTCCAATCCCCACCAGCTGTCTTGAGTAGCCAGGCTTGACGGCTGGGAGGTAGAAACAAACTATTTTGCCCTCATGATCAGTGAAGAGTGGATTGGCTTTCTTCACCTCTAAGAGAGAAAACAAATCAGAGAGCTCAAATTTAACAATTGTGATTCACATCTAGCAAACCAATATTGTGTAACGCAATTTTTCCCATATTTGGAGATATAACTGCAAAGGTGTGTGACTGTAAAAGCCTTATATGTAATCAAGTGCTAAATCTAACGAGGTGATGAGAAGAAATCTGTCAGTGAAAGAGAAGACATTCTCCAGAAATGGATAAATCCTCTGAGATTTATATTTTTAATGATAGCCGTTATTTTTCGAATACGTAAACCGGCCAATTTAAAGAAACCTTTATAATAGCTGTGTACAGCATCAAAACAAATCGCCAAAAAGTTTTCCAAAATCCACAGATTAACGAGAGAATATGCTATCATATCCGCACATAACACATAGGAGGCCTTACAGCCCCAAAAGCACTTGCAGTAACGAAGCAACGTCACTTTTTGATTAATTTGATATCAAACACCATTGATATTATTATTATACGCATTCCCGCGTTGAAGTGTAGCAGCAGTATGCTGCGTCCACAGCTTCGCTTATGCAGAATGGCTTGGGTGAGAGGAGAGGGGAGAGAAAGCAACAAGGCAACCAACATCTATGAAATTGGTCACAATAACATGAAGAGAACCAACCTACATATGCATGATTGCACAAGAATGGAGACGACAACATATAATGGCTATAATCATTGTGCCACAAAACCGGTACACAGCAGATCTGTCGACAATGTAACGAAGCATAAAACTCAGTTACTTAATACAGGCTCCACTAAATAATTACAAGAGAACAACGCTACAACGTTAGAATTGCTGCACACCATTGATAGGTTTCGCTAATCCGGGCGCATAATATTATGTTAACAATCTTGCAGTCTTCAGACATGTTTTGCATATAACAGATATGACGCCTTACAGCCCCAACAGAACTTACTATCGAAGAAATCGCATCAATCAAAATATTTTATTTACTTCCTGGTTTTATCAAGAGTCCATAAACAAGAGTATGCAGCTGTGATCTCTTTTCTATGGGCCAGATTCGCGGCGTGCTGCCTACATCATTCAGCTGCAGTCCGCGCACTGCAGAAAATCAAACCCAGCACTTTCCCTCTGGTTTGAAATGAACTTTTGTACGAAACTGGAGTTCACTCGCCAGAATTGAGAGATTGCGTAGGTACTGCAACGTATCGAGCAAAAACGGATGGGCTCGTACGAGAAATTGTGAGTTTGAATGCATGCTTTCAGAGCTTGATGAAGGCAAGTTATGTAATGAAGGCAGCGTGCCGCGCATTGACCCATCGCCACAGTTGCATACTCTTGTTTATGCACTCTTGGTTTTATTCACATGTCTTACAGCAGTTCAGAATCATCTAGTTTGAGACCTGTGACCAGGCATGCTTAGACTGTGTATGTACATACTGAGCTGGCATGTAACCAGGCATGGTTGACAGAGGTTGTACATGTACATTGTAAGGAGTAATGGTTGACAGTGTTTGTGACCAGTCGTAGTTGACAGAATTTGTGACGAGTCATGGTCAACAGAGGTTGTAAAAGGTCATGGTTGATGTCATTTGTAACAAGCCATGGTTGACAGAGTTTGTAACAAGTCATGGTTGACAGATTTTGTAACTGGTCATGGTTGCTGCAATAACAGTAACGTCATAGCTTACAGAGGCTGTAACGAGTCCTGGCTGGCAGAGGCACTCGATTAGACACCCTTGCGGAAAAGCAGCCGCCGTGTACAGGATTCCCAGTAAAGAAATCATATGTGTGGAATGGGTGCACCGGATCCCCAAACTGGCATCACATGTGAACGTATCGTGGAAGTGTTACTCGATGAAGGAGTACTTCGTTGAATTTGTTTGTTTGTTTTTGCTTTGTTCTTGTTTTTTTTTGTTTATTATCATTTTGCTTCCTTTTTGCTTGTGCGAATATTGTTCTTGTTTCGTTTCCTCGCGATTTGTTTCTCTCTCTATGTTTTTGTCATAAGGCGTTGGCATAATCAGTTTGGCACAAGCGAACCTGGGCAACCTCCATCCAATGGGGTCCCCAGCAACGCGTACTTGGATATAATAATAATATTTTTTACAAGACGTCGGAGGCGGAAAGGTACGTTTTGTTCGCAAGTATCCACGCAAACACACGTCCAGACAAAATATGGCACTTGTCCGAAAGTATCCGAACGTTTTCGGTCCTTTCTCATCAAGGATTTTACAGGGAATGGCTCAAGTTGGAAAGACTAAAACTTATATAGTGTAAAGATAATGAGATAAAAACACTCGTCACAAGGTGGTAAATTATCAAGTTCAGCACGACACAAAACTTGAAGGAAAATAATAATAGTGACCACAACATAGTGAGCAAATTAAGTTACATTGTTAACACCTCGATGAGGAGTAACACCAAACAATTGTAGCGACAAGACATTTTCTTTCTGTACGCAAAGTTCAGGATCCAACTTACTTATATACAAAGTTTAACTCGGATGGTGAGCATATATGGTTATTATGAAGAAAGGAAAAGGACAAAATGTTACGAGTTATGACTAACGGTCCACCAACGTAACCAGATCTTATACAGTCAGCGAGTGCGACAAAACGGCACAAAACTGACAAGGAGTACTGAGATATTCGGCGACCTGACACCTAGCTCCAACACTTCTCCAAGGCGCAAACCAACAAACCTTCCAACTTGGAAGGCTCAAGTTCGGAAAGGTCCAAGAGGGGAAGGAAAGCACAATGAAGAAGAGCACAAGCTACGCATCACGGCAACAAAGAATGCCGAAGTTACTGGATGATGACGAAACTAGTAAGACTATTGGACAGACCGGCCTTACTACAACTCAACGACTTTTGTCGCACTTGCTGACTGTATAAGATCTGGTTACGTTGGTGGACAGTTTGTCATAACTCGTACCATTTTGTCCTTTTCCTTTCTTCAGGATATACTAAGCTTCTACCACAGCCAGCTGCAACGCACATCTACCACGTGACAATATTGAGAAAACATTATCACTGTACAACTCACGACAATTGGTACCGGCTGACAGATGTTGCTTGATTGACGAACCTATGAAGGAGCACCATGTCAGTGATCGAGTGGTTCAAGGAGATACCCGACAAACAGCGCCTCACGTTCCTATGCTTTAACGTGGTAGAATTCTACCCGTCAATTGGTGAGCGGCTCCTCCGTCAGGCCTTATCGTTCGCGGAGCAATTCACCACGATCGAGCCGCATGAAATGGACATCATCTTTCACGCCCGGAAATCGCTCCTATTCCACGATGGCCGCCCCTGGATGAAGGACAAGGGCGACATGTTTGACGTAACAATGGGAAGTTACGATGGCGCCGAGACGTGCAAACTTGTGGGCGCCTTTCTTCTCAACCAGCTCTCAAGCCTCGTCGATAGATCCGCTATCGGCCTCTTCAGAGACGATGGACTGGCCGCTCTCAAGGACACCAGCCCACAGGCTGCAGACCGCCTCAGAAAAAAGATGACGGAAATCTTCAAGCGCTTCAACCTAAAAATTACCATCGAAGCGAACTTGAAGGTGGTGGGTTTCCTGGATGTCCCCATGAACCTGGACACCGGGAAAGTTCAACCCTTCCGAAAGCCAAATGACAACCTGCTCTACGTCAGCAAGCAGTCCAACCACCCGCCTGGGATCACCAACAACATCCCTGCTGCTGTCAACAAGCGCCTTTCCGCTATATCGAGCGACGCGGAGGCATTCAATCATGCAGGCCCCGTGTACCAGACCGCATTAAAGGTCAGTGGATACACCGAAGTGCTGAGTTTTCAGCCCGAGGCACATGAGCACAGGAGCGGAAAGGTCATATGGTTCAACCCTCCCTACTCCAAAAACGTCAGCACAAACGTCGCTGGTAGGTTCCTGAGCCTTGTCACCAGGCACTTCCCGAAAACATCCAAGCCTGGGAAGATTTTCAACCGTAACACTCTGAAAGTGAGCTACAGTTGCATGCCCAACATGGGAGCGGTCATCAGCAGCCACAACAAGTGCAACCTGCGAGAGTCAGAACAAACCAAGGCATGCAACTGTAGAATCAAGGAATCCTGCCCGCTGCGCTGAGAGTGTCAGACGAAGGAGATTGTGTATGAGGCAGAATCTACCAGCAAGATTTACATCGGCCTATCAGAGACACCTTTCAAAGCCCGTCACGCCAACCACCTGATCTACATGTGTCATGAAAAATACAAAAACAGCACTGAGCTCGCAAAACACGTATGGGAGCTGAAGAGCGAAGGAAAGCCGTTGACCATTAAATGGAAGGTGCGGGAGAAGAGCCGATCATACAGATGTGAGTCAAAAAAATGCAATCTTTGTACTGCGGAAAAATTCCACATCCTGACTACACCCAAGAAGCTCCTACTCAACAAGCGGTCTGAGATGGTCTCGAAATGCAGGCATGAGAACATGTTCCGCCTCGCAAATTTCACACGTATAAAATGAACTGACCAAGTACTGTACTGCACTGTGCCTGAGCACCTATTATTATTAATAGCACAATCCCTTGGCCTGATGTTGGCGATGCCACTCTGCTCACGCCTGCCCGTCACCAAACGACTCCCTACTTGTAGCGATCTCACTGGGCCATTGCCTGCCACCCTTCTGGCACCTCCACCCATCTGCTGTACACTGCCTCTCCATCGCCTCTTTCCGCGCTTTCATGATCACACCTGCCTGTTGACCGCCACCCTCCTGGCACTTCCACTGTCGCGCCTTGGCCCGCGACAGCTTTCTCCCCATACCTCACACCAGATTTAGCGCTAAATTTGTTTATGCTTGTGGCCCTATGTGTTTATAAGCATACTGTTGGGTAGACCCGAGTATCAGTTGTCTGATGATTGCCTAGCGGCATGAAACTCAGAGTTGCAACCAACCTGAACGTCCTCCGCTGAGTCTGCTATGTACTAAGCTCTGTCTCTGACATTGAGCACTCTCTGCAGCTCGGGGATCAACGAATTTGTTCTACTTGATAAATTTATTGTTCTCTCAAACTTATTTCTTCGTTGTATTCGAACTGTTTTTGAATTCGTTTCGTTTCTTTCTTGCCATGTGCCAGCTGCCGAAGAGTGCAATCACAGCAGCGCCATTTTTGAATTATTTCATCATTGATCATGTGATCACGCGCGATTGTTGCTAGCGCTAGATCCGCGGATCTGGTAGTGGTACGCATGCATACGTGTACTTCCTCCGCGTCATCGAAATTGTTGCAGTTTGACTTTTGATATGAAACGTGGTATTTACTCACCAGCACTCGTACCAGAGGCGAGGAATCGGACATAGGTGATAGTCATCAGTATAGGGTGACAGCAAAGTTCTATTTTCTGTTATTGGAAGCTGGAATTTTTGAACTAGACGCAATTTATTCGCTGATGTCGCTGCGATGGAAATTCGACTCGCTGAGATCAGTTAGGCGTTGCAGCCTGCACATTTCTCGTGCTAATGGCCATTCACTCAAGCCTCATCACTGTTTCACCTTAGCTGGGGTGAGAATGAATTCGTGGAACAAGTAGCAGCGCTTGGAGAAACATCCAGGGGTCAGCAAACTAAATGCCTGCAACAGCGATAAAATGTGTCGCTCTGGCTGAGACACTCAGTACATGATTGTACCTGCAAGAGCCGAGTAGACTCTACACGTAGTGCTAGTGATGCACGCGCAGGTGCCTTACCATGGTAAACCAGTGATGCTGAAAAAGAGGGCGGGCTGGGCGTGATAGTACACTTACCTGCATGAGCTGTGACTACACAGCTAAAATAAATGGGCATGCCCCGGCTAAAAAATGTTCTTTTCAAGATCGAGGTGATTCCGCCGACGGTAATCAACCGACCTCGCAATGATCGTGTATTCTTACTATGCGTTCATTGGTCATCCAGATCATCCAGAGCTAGCAGACGACAAGCATAGCAGCTCTTGTCCTGTGGAGAAAGTCAAAGCGTTTGAGATGAGGCGCGACCAACTTTCAACCTTCCTTGAAATATTTCGGAACGATATTTTTGCGTCCAATGACATCAGTGACGACGAAGACTTCATCTCTGCATGAAAACTCTCAGTCCAACTGTCCTGGAACGTTACTCTAGTCTTCAGACTATCATACTGTGTAATAAGTTTTGAATGGCTCAGCTTATGGAGTTGTCAGTAACAAGTGACAAGTCACTAGTCAAACTGCGACAATTTCGATGACGCGGAGGAAGTAGTTTGACTTGCCTGCGATAGTTTTCTGTGATCTGCTGTTTTGCACTGGAATCGCACTAGTACTTTTGACCTCTTCACACTTCTCCTTTTGGCAATTCGTGTCCTGAATCTCTCCGCGAAGTTTGCGCCGATCCCGCGCGGGGCTCTCACGCACAGTGCGGTGCAGTACGGAATTTTGCACTTGTTTCTTTTCTTGTATCCTTTTCTGGTTTCCTAGCACCTTTTCGGGACTGTTCCTCTGGGCAAGAGGTAGCCTTGTCTTGGTGGCTTTCTTGTTCATGGTAGATTTTTTTCTTTGGTGCTCATAGAGTTTGCTTTGTCTTTCTTATCAAATTTACACTATCGCCATATACTAAGCACAGCTTTGGAGTGTTTTGGAGTGTTGGTGAAACTACAAGGACGTTCTACCTACCCTTAGTAAAAGCAACCTTATCTATTTCTTTCAATGCCGTCAATGTGAAGATCGGTATGTAGGTAGAACCCTTCAGCACCTGGCGTGCGCATTCGTCAACATGTGCCGTTAAGTTTTGTTCCGCTTGATGCATGCGAGTGTCGTCCTCGCCGTGGTCGTCCTCCAAAATGTGCTGTCCAGTCCATCGGCGGATCTTCCTCTTCCCGTGAAGAGATGACTGCATGCCCTTCCACCTCTGCGTATGTAGGGCTGGGCCAGCTCGGAACAGCATGAAAGATTTTGAAAGACCGACACGTAAACCACCGAAACTGAAAAAGGGTCTGTCGGCATTGGGAAGGGTTACGCGAAGCTGTGTAAAAATACCGACTGGTGAGGACGCACGTACAATGACAACGGAAGTAACAACCACAGTGAAAATTCTAAAACGTGGTAGACCGCGAAAGCGAACCTCTATATCGAAACACCGGACATGTTGGAGTAAGAACCTCAACAGAAAACCGCAATGGAGGAGACGTACCTGAAAGGACACTGGGCATCGCGCACACAGCGGCTAGTGTAAGGAAACGTGGAAGGCCGTGAAAAAACAAAGATACGGAGAATGGTGATGCTGTGAAGATGCGAGATGACGGGACATTGGAAGAGACAACACCCAACGGAGCCAAGAATTGTATTTCGTTAGTCAAGCAACAACTGTCAGCCAGTACCAATTGTCGTGAGTTGTAGAGTGATAATGTTTTCTCAATATTGTCACCTGTGCGTTGCATCTGGCTGTGTTAGAAGTTTTGTATATCCGAAAGTTAGTTCCTGAATTTTGCGTACAGGAAGAAAATGTGTTGTCATTACAATTGTTTGTTGTTACTCCTCGTCGAAGTGTTAACAATGTGACTTAATTTGCTCGCCATGTTGGTGTCACTATTAATAATTTCCCCCGATAATTTTCCACCTTGTGACGAGTGTTGTTATCTCATTATCTTTACGCTATAATAAGTTTTAGTCTTTCCAACTTGAGCCATTCCCTGTATCTTCCTTGATGAGAAGGGACGGAAAATGTTCGGATACTTTTGACAAGTGCCTTATTGTGACTCGGTGTATGTTTACGTGGATACTTGAGACCCAAAACTTACCTTCCTTTTTAAAATAATAACAATAATAGGAAGTATGATGCGGACAAGTTGAATTCAATGATTTCAATCTCACCTGGTGTAGGTACTGGACTTTTTTGCTGCTGTGCGACATTTTTGTTAGCATTTTGAGAAGTGGTATCAGCATCTGCATTAGCACCAAAAGCAGCATCAAGAAAGTGTTTGGAGGAAAAGCACAAGGCACAGAGTATGGAAACGTCAGTGGGATGTCATAACTGCACACAAACGATTAGAATTTAGGATTATGCAAGATAGAGATTATTATGAAAGGAATTCGGTTAGACACACCCATTCTCATAGCGCTGCACATCACATCCGAACCAGTTCCGTTCTTTTTACAACATTTCGGCACTTGGCCATCGTCAGGTAATACCAATGAATGCTGTGGAAGCCACACAAGAGCAGTATATATTCGCAGAGTGTAGCACCAAAAGAAATGCGAATTATGTCACCTACCGTATTTTCCGGTTGTAAGTCGACCTTTCACGACTAAAAAGAGAAGGAGAAAGGGGGGGGGGTCGACTTAACCCTTTCAGTGCCAAGGACGAGATAACTCGTCCTGAAACAACCACCCTGAATGGCCAAGGACGAGATAACTCGTCACACACGGAGCATATGGAAACGAGCATAGGCCACTGTACAAACAGCTATAACTTCGGCCTCCCTACTTTAAAATACAATAAATGACGGCTCATTGGAAAGCTTTCCAAAGATGTATCATTCGATAAAGCGCAAAGTAAAATACTCAAGCGCCGAAGCTCGAAGTTCGGGAAACGGGTGCAGTTGAAATTTCAAGCGTGTGACTGTGACACACTGCATGCTACAGTTGACAAGGTGTTTGATTACGGGGGATTTCCCCGGGGAACAGCCCATGCATGACATACACCAGAGCTCAGCCTTCATATGTTAGTCTCTCTGTCTCTCTCTCTGTTTCTCTCTCGCTCTCGGATCTCTCTCTCTCTCTCTCTCTCTCTCTCTCTCTCTCTCTGTTTTTGGTGGACAAAAATATCTCTGGCGTTGATTGCTTTCTTGCTTCGACTTCTGCCGCGCCTTTGTTCTCGTACTCCCCTTTATGTAAAAGTGTTGTGCAGACCCTCCCTTAATATAGTCTGTCTCATTTTGTCCTGAGATGTTTTGATGCATAGTGATTATGACGCTCATCATTCGCTCCCTTGTCACTGGACAGTTCTGTCCGTTTGGTTTTAGCGAATTCAAATAAAGAAAACAACAACAACAACAACAACAACAACAACAACAACAACAACAACAACACCAAACTCAGCGCTAGAACAGCCTGATTCTGCTGGTGTTTGAATCGTCGCTGTACGTTCAGTACGAGCTGCAAATCGAATTGTCGCTGAGTGTAGAATAGCACTACAATGGCGCATTAGAGCAGCTTTCGAAGTGTTTGTAGGCCGTTCTCCTGCGCCTACAGAGCACTGAGCATCTTGTATCGACAGGGAAGATCCTCAGCTTTCCAGAGAGTCTAAGATGATGAGAATCCGTTACTGGTGAGTGAACCCGGATTCGACTTATAACCGGGAACTATCCGTATGAGAGGGTTTGCTCCCCACACTGGAGCTCGCGCTATTCCGCTAGTGTTCACGAGGTGTTTGTGGCGCTGGAAACGGAGCGTCTCTGCAATTTTGGATCCCTGGTGATGTTTGTGCCTGAAGAGCACTATATAAGTGGTGCTCTTCAGGCACGATTTTCCTCAGCCTACGGAAGCTCAACCGATGAGGGATGAATTCCCCGAAACACTTTGTATTGAGCAGGGAGTGGTGCTTTCTTGCAGGTTTGCCGAGTCGAAGGTTCGATGGACTTCTTTTGTGCTCTGGATGGCAGTCGTGAGTCAGTCAAGTGTCAAGTAAAGTCGACGGAATAGCGCGAGCCCCAGTGTGGGGAGCAAACCCTTTCTTACAAATCATCGCCGAAGGTGCAACCACTACTTTGAACAATTAGTATCTAACAAAAATGACCTGCACTGCATGCTCGAGTGCACCATGTGTGCACATTTTTGCCAGTTTATTCGCATTTTTTCAAGGATTGGGACGGTATACCCTCCAATAAGGAATGTCTACCAGATCTGTTGGTGTGTTATTGGATCTGAGGAAGTTGTTAACACATTCGTGCATCACGCAGTCTCCCAGTGGTGTGGTCAAATTGATAAACTAAGTGGTTTCGCGGTATCAGAGCCACATGCTGCGTATTCCGTGTTAGTAAATGGGCTGTGGAGTCGTTGGAATTACTTACTTCAGACCACTGCGATAGCTCCGGAGTCACTTGAGCAGCTTGATATTGCTTTGGCAGGTGCTTTCCTCCGTGCCATTACCGGACGGTCGTCCTTTACGGACACTGAGCTTTCGCTTCTTCGGCTTCCTGCTCGGCTCGGTGGCATTGGCCTGCCTTCTGTTGTCGAGATGGCGAGGGGGCAGTTGGAGGCTTCTGGCCGTATTACCGAGGGCCTCACGACGATCATTCGGAGGCAGGAGCTCTCAAATGGTCCGGATGAGGTTGATAGAGTTTTATCCGCCGTAGCTTGCGCCAAGCGGGAGTGTCGTAAATTGGCGGGGAGCGACAGGCAGAGCGCTTGCGTGCTCTTCAATCGCACCTGTCTTTGGAAGTTAATCGTCACGTGGGAGAGCTGGGTCACCCAGATGTTTCATCATGTCTGTCGGCGCTCCCTATTGCTGAGCATGGTTTTGAATTATCCAAGGGAGACTTTCGCGATGCCATTGCGTTATGCTATGACTTGGCCTGCCTGCCCTGGCCGCTTTTGACAACAAGGACAATGGGACGTGTTGTTTGATACGTTCAGACAAGTGTTGAAGCGTCCTGCCAACATACCGACTACCGCACTATATGTTTTGGTGATTCTTACTATGTGACGATGTTCCACTGATGATGGTCACACGAAAAGGTTCTGGAATTGTTTCATTTTTATTGTTTAAACATGGTTATGAGTGCACAATTGATATTTTTCATTGCTATAAAAAATAATAAACGGCATTATGCAGCTGTGTAAGCAGTAGGTGTACAGTGTGACTGCCAGGCATCTCTGTCAGATGCCAACCAAAGTATACCTACTCAAAATTCCAGCAAAATTCCAAGAGCTTCACTAGCCAGCCTGTTTGCGTTCTGAGCCGGTAGGCTCTAATGTAATTGTGCATATGCGGTCCTTGAACAGAACAACAAGGTCATTGTATATACTGGACGACTCACCAACACAAGTATAATTATAGACAGTCCCGATGCAGCCACTCTCGCACCTACGCTCATTCTCGGGTATGTTTTCACAGCTACTGTGACAGAAGGATTCAGGTAGGTCTGCAACAAATCACAAACACGCACACCAATCAGCAATAAAGTAATAGGTGTTTGGGCAATACAAGGGGCTGCATGTGCCTCAAAGCAGAGATGACTCCCTTTACATGAAGTTTTATGATAGGTGGTGAACTATAACAAGATCATTATGTTGTGGCGTTGGTTCCTTTGGTAGAAGTATTCGTACTCGATTTCCAGCATGATGAACACATTGCCTTCTGATGCCCCAGTTAGGAATGTGAGTCTGACCCACTAATGGAGTGATGCAAAACAGACACCAGAACCAGTTAGCCTTTCACAACGCTGTCACCTCCAACAAATACACACAGCTTCACCACACAGTGAGTCACTGTCAGTTTGCACCTCTGGTGATGTGTTGACAGCTTGATGGCTATGAAATGTAGTGCTGCCGGAGCACATGTTTCCTAACCTTGATCAGTCTCAAATGATAACGGATGAGTTACTAGAGATCATGTGTAATTTACATTGTGTTGTTTATTTACGGATTCTCCAGAGGTAAATGGATACCTATCATGGAAGTCTCTCCAAACCAATAGAATGACAAAGAAAGAAGTGTGTAGTGAGTGGCTTTATCTCACATTAAATTAGAGACTAATTTAAGGTGGCTCGTCCCTCAATCGAATTCTAGTCCTTTAAGCATCCTTCTGCGAAGGTTTGAAATAGAAATATTTTGAAATATTATTACTTTTCGCCCATTGCGGATTCGAACTTCCCCTGCTAAAACTTTTTTCTTCTTTTTCAGTAGTGGTTTTGACAGAATAGCTTCTATAAGGTTTGTTCTGGTGGCAACAGAAACATGCAACTTGGCAGGCACTTTTTCATCAATCAAAGGAACATCTTTACCAATTTTAAAGGAAATCCATCAAGCAGTTTCAGTTTACTTGATGGCAGTAGTATGTAAATTTACCCCCAAATCGACAAATTGATAGCACTTGACAAAGTGTGCTTCTGGTAACTGCAGGAGCTGTAACTTCGCAGACACTTCCCATTACTATCTAAGTATACCTCTACAAAATTTGAATGAAGTCTATGGGGCTATTATGTTTGCCTATATTTTTTGGTCCATTGCACACCTCAGCCAATCTCGGATTCAGTGAACCGTGCTCCTAGGTACAGTAGGTATCAGTTATAGTGTGGGTGTTTGAAAACGACTTTCTATTCTTATTTCCGATATTTCTTACACACGATAAATATAGTGTGACATATCATATGCATGTGCGCATAGCCAGGAAGATCATCATACTTGCAACGTAGTGATGCTGTGTATGCGGCTGCTCATACTTCCAAAATAGTCACATACTGGGCCATAGGTACACAATGTAGCTGAGCAACATGAGTTACATGTCCACAACAGATGCACTTGCAGCATTATGATGCAATTCGAGTCGGTTCAGAACTGTGTCGGGCAGATGTTATTACTACAGGCGATACATGTTGTACTAATCTGGCATGTTTTGCTACACAAAGTCCATTCTTAGGACCAATTATATATATTCTATTACACGATAATATTTTTTTATATTTTTTTACTAGAGCCACGTAAACCCGTCATGTGTGAGCCATGAATAAGGGGAGTGGTGGCGTGGTCTGGGATGCTCTGCCGACCTTGGATCTCGGCTTCATCACAACCAGGCGTGCCAGTAGAAGAGAGAGAGAGGAAGAGAGAGAGAAAGAGAGAGAGAGAGAGAGAGAGAGAGAGAGAAAGACAGAGAGAAAGAGAGAGAGAAACAGAGGGAGAGAGACCAAGAGACAGAGACAGAGAGAGAGAGAGAGAGAGAGAGAAAGAGAGAGAGAGAGAGAGAGAGAGAGAGCGAGAGAGAGAGAGAGAGAGAGAGAGAGAAAGAGAGAGAGAGAGAGAGAGAGAGAGAGAGAGAAAGAGAGAGAGAGCGAGCGAGAGAGAGAGAGAGAGAGAGAGAGAGAGAGAGAGAGAGAGAGAGAGAAAGAGAGAGAGAGAGAGAGAGAGAGAGAGAGAGAGAGAGAGAGCTTGGAAGCTCAGGGCCCTACGCCTTGCTTTTTTGCCTTGATGACCTAGGCAAAAAAAGCATAGGGATGTTATAAATTTTTTATTTCTCCTATTTTGTTCAAGACATAACCTGGGATTGGAACCCGCACTAACGCCCTGCATCAGGTATGCAATTCCCGATACACTTCGCATACATACTAATTCTTCCAAGTTGCTTCACGTTATGATCTTGCATTTGAAAGCCCTATTTGAATATGGTGACCAGCTGCCGTCTGTGATGTTACGGTACAGTACGAGACAGGTACGGTTGAGGATACGACACCGTCTACTACCTTGATGACCTAGGCAAAAAAGCATAGGGAGTTATAAATTTTTCAATTCTCCTATCTCTTTTTTCAAGGCATAACCTGGGATTCGAACCCGCACAATCGCCCTACATGCATCCCCAGATACATTTCGCATTCATACTCATTCTTCCAAGTTACTTCACGTTATGATCTTGCATTTGAAAGCCCTATTTGAATATTGTGGCCAGCTGTTTGTGGCCAGCTGTCTGTGATAGTACAGTAAGGTACGGGACAGATACGGGATAGCGCCAGACGGAGGTCCGTACGCCACATACACCAAATTAAAGCTGTGTGGACCCTGGCTAGCGCCAGACGCTACTGAAGTAACGTCTTCTGCATAGCTATTGGAATAAAATACACATGAAACCCATGTTATTATTCCCGTAGCTATGCAGAAGACGTTACTTCAGTAACGTCTGGCGCTATCCAGGGTCCACACAGCTTTAAATTGGTATTTGTGTGTTTGTTTGTTTGTGTGTTTGTGTCAAGCCCGCATAAATATACACATGAAACCCATGTTATTATTATGAAAATAGGAGAGTTCATTCTTTTAGCCAGTATATTCTTTTACACGACCACACTATAACCGATACGCACTGTACATTGATTCAATGTCAAATATCTAATGTTTAGCATATGAACCACATAGCTGGCTGTACTTCTTGAAGAAATGAAGAAAATTGATCAGGCCAATTCGGGCAGCACCCCATGGAGTACCGATATTTGCGTTCCAAACCGAATGAGATTGTTAGCATGGGCAGCCAAGAACCCTGAAAAGAAAGCCCAGCCACTCTATTTGGCTTGGCTTGACTGCAGAAATCACCACTCAGATGCCCGAAAAGAAAACTACACCTTGTAGTCTGAAAAACACAACAGGAGAGACAAAGTTCTGGGATGTTTTTGTGGAAAATGCTCCAAAATACCAGAACGTTTCGATCAGTTTATGAAGAAATGTTTCAATCCTTCCCATTTTTCGGGACTGACAATATTCTGGTAGTATTAAAAAGCTGTGCAACTTTGACCAATATCAATCCCTCCGTTTTGATTTTCCGATTTGGGTATGAGTAGGTATTTCACAAATCAACCGGCCGAAAAATTGACCGAAAACAGTGGTTTTGGAGAAATCACCGATCTTTTCGCCGAATATGCAATTTTGCACTGAATTCGCCGAAATCGATGTTTTAGTGCCTCAACAGAATGCAAATACAATGTCTGTAGCCAGTAGCTGCGAAAGGTGACTGCGACATTAGGCATTTCCGAAAACGGTCAGAAGGAAAACACGCCGAAATCAATGGCTGTCAAGAAAACGCGGATAATTGCACCGAATTTACAAATTTTGCGCTGAATTCGTGGAAAATGGATGGTCTCTACACTTGTCTACAGCGTGCGTGTAAACATATACATGTATGTATTCTTTATTTTACTTCGCAAAGTCAAACGGGATCGTTGCGCACTAATCATATGATAGCGAAGGGTGTGTGTGTGGGGGGGGGGGGTGACATTACATAATACCTATCTGTCGTAATGAAATGTTTCAGTACTCAGTAGGGAGAGGTAAAAGAGCAGAAGAACAGCAGAAGGGTAAAAGTAGGCAAGGTGTATCACCGTTGTGTAAGTATGTACTCTGATTGGGTAAGGACATACAATGAAAGCACTTGTGGTAACAGTTATCACAGTATGGCTGGCGAGACACTACTAGTAGTATCACGGTATAGTCGGCCAGGCATTAGGCAGGATTTTCAGAAGAATCCACGAAACTTACTTTCTCTTATGTAGTTCTTGACCTCTATGCTTGTGCGGAAGTAGTAGTTAGCTTTCATGAAATTCCTTGGGGCTACTAATTCACACAAATGGTGATTCAGGCTTAAATTGTTGGGTAGGTAAAGTAATCTGGACATGGAGCAAATAGAACTAAATATTGCGACAGAGCTTTCGGCCATATTTTCATATTTTTAATCATCATTATCATCCTCTACTGATGAGCTCCGACAGGGAGCGAAACGGCTGTCTAGAGGCATGGAACAATATTATCTCTCCACGGGAGTGTTCTTGGTGGTGTCTGTATGGTTCGGCTGAAGAGCGCGTGGTTGTGATGAGTTGGGAATGCAATGAATGGAGCGAATAGTCTTTTAGAAAAGCAATATTCAATCAGGTCATGTCTTTCCATATAAAAATTAACTACATTAATTTTACCATTCGAAGTTGATTGATCCAACGGGGAACACACGCTTCTTGCCGAACTTGACACTTGACTGACTCACGACTTCCATCCGGAGCACACAAGCGTGATAATTGTGCATTGAGCAGGGAGTGGTGCTTTCTTGCAGGTTTGCCGAGTGGAAGGTGTGACATCCTCCTCGTGTGCTCCGGATGGCAGTCGTTAGTCAGTCAAGTGTAAAGTTCGGCAAGAATCTTGTGTTCCTCGTTGGATCAATCAACTTCATGACTATTATCGCCGAAGTCATAACTTCTATAATATTGTATTTTTGTCCCTCACGGGGATGTGAGAGTAGTTGTTAGAGGTGACAGCATTGTGAATAGCTATACTGGCTGTCAACGTCTGTTTAGCACAACTCCATGAGCGACTCACGCTGCTACCTGGGGCTTCACGAGGTTTGTTGTCGAGCTAGAAACAAAGC